ATCCTTACCAATAAAGGGAGACTCTTAAAGCAGACCTATTTGGGAGATTGCTGCCCAGACCATGCTTTCAAGTGTCCCTTCCCTTTGCTGGGGAGAACCTCAGTGGCCACTACTGAAACCTGTCTCCTTACCACAGCTGACTAAACAAAAGGGAGCACCTGACCCATGCTGAACCAATCAGATACTCAAGTATTTGAACTGAGCTTCTGCCTGGTTCCAGAATACAAAAGTAGAAGCTTGGCTAAAATCAGTATGATGGTAACCCAAAGTCAGGTGAAATGGCGGAGCAGAAATTGAGACCCTAGCAGAGGAAACCAGCCTCAGCACAAAGAATGGAACAGACAGGCAAAGAAAAGCAGACAGAAGACCACACAGCTCCACAGAGACAAAAGCAAAAGCCTGGGGCTTTCCAAATCCCATGAGGTTCAACCCCGCTTCCTGCAACTGGGTTCCAAAAGACTCCTTACAATCAATTTCTCTATACTTAAATTTGAGAGGATTGCTGCTCTTAATATTCAAATTTGTCCTTGACAGATACAAAATTATGTACAGAAAAAAAAAAGCATTAACAAAAATGCCAATATCTCTTAGTATAGTTATGAGTGATGCTTTCCAGTATTTACAATTTCCTTTCTTGTCAGATTTTCAACAATGAGCATATTATTACTCAATCAGGAAAAAAAAAACAAACCATGGAATAAATGAGGCAATTCTAAATTCAGATAATGAAGGGTTTACCATATAATCAGGTAATTTTACAGAGCTGGAAGTGACATAGAGTATATAAAACCAAGAAGATTTCAAACCTTGTTTCACAGGACCTATGGTGTCACAGTGGTGATGCTAGGGCCACTTCTGGGGAAGAGAAAGAAAGAGCACACCTCCTGTAGTCAACACCTTTTGCAGTCTCTTCCCAGCTCGAAAGAGCTCCTTCACTGTTCCTTTCTAGGTCAGGGTTGCCAGGGGACATTTTACACAACACAGACCACTACGCTAACCACTTAGGTCTTCAGCTGATTGTAGCACGGTGAGAATCTGCCCCAAACCAGGCCTGAGTATCTTCCGCTGGTGTTTGGAATGGGAATGACATTTACTCTCTTCATTGAAGTGGCTGAAAAGGGCAACTTGGCCATAAAGATCACAGAAGCAGAGAAGTCAGTTTGCAATGGAGCATAAAGCATGAACAAAATCCATGAAACAAGAGCATAAAGAGGAGGCTTTCCTGGTTTTGGATTTTAGCCATTTTCTCTAAGTCCCTTTAGGTTTGTACCTTGGACAACTTGAAGTACCTCTGTGGCCTTAGCAAGTGTGCCCTTTTTTCCCCTAAGCCATAGCTTAGTTTCTGTTGTCCAAAACTGGCCCCATATCAACCAGATTAGCCACTAAGGTACATCTGATTTTTTTTCTTTTACACAGAGAAAGTTCCCCAATTTAAAACAAAACAAAACCGATTCTAAACAAAACAAAACCGATTCTAGTACTTCAACTTCATTTTTCTGGTGAGAAAACTAAGGTTTAAAGGCCTCATCTCCACAAAGCTAAACATAGGGCTTTTCTTCATTGAAAAAGAGATTTTCAGTGCTTCCCAAAGACTTACATAGATCATATTGAATCCAAGGTACTGTTCCAAATGCTTCATCAACATTAACTTATTTAACCCTCACAATAATGCCATGATATAGGCACTGTTAACCTGTCACAGAGGAGTGTAAGGCTCAGGAAAGCTAAGTAACATGCCCTAAGTCACACAGATTCAAGCCTAGGTAGTCCAGCTTTAGAATCTAAGTTCTTGATCAATATTCTACTTAAATAGGGATTTAAGCTTAAGTAAGTGGCATTGTTTATGCATTTGTTTAAAATTTGCAAGTGGTAACTTCTGTCATGGCAGCACAGACTTGTTAAGTCTCTCTCAAGCTAAAGACTCAGTAACTGCATTTCTGATAATAGGACTGAAGTGGAGGATATACTGTCCAAACTTAGTTTTTAAGCTATTTTTCAATTAACTTCCCTTCTGAATCCCTATAGTTGTGCATCATAGGAAGTAGGGCTGGAGCTATTAATCCATTTACCCAACACAATTCTATACTTATCTTTTTTGCCCCATTACAGCCACCCCTCCTGTCCATTTTTGGCCTTGATATGGTGGTAATGGGGCTTCCCAAGTGGCGCTAGTAGTAAAGAACCTGCCTGCCAATGTAGGAGGCATTAAGAGACACAGGTTTGATCCCTGGGTCGGGAAGATCCCCTGGAGGAGGGCACAGAAATTCACTCCAGTATTCATGCCTGGAGAATCCCAGACAGATGAGCCTGGCAAGCTACAGTCCATATGGTTGCAAAGAGTTGGACACCAACTGAAGCAATTTAGCATGCATGCATAGCCATAATACAAAAGTGAAATATATATTTCAACTATCTTGTTACAGTGTTAATTTATACTTTTCTTCATATTAAAAGTGGCAATATTCTACACTTTTCAGGAAAAGAAAACAAAATTAAATTGTGTTGCCTCTTAATGTATTTTTCTTGGAATCTTTTATTAGGGAAACTTCCCCACCCTCACCCTACACTTTCTAAAATCAGTGATTTCTAATCTGAGGACAAAGGATCAGGAGGTCCATAAAGGCTCCCCAGTTAGTAGAAGCACATACAAGATTTTGTATTAGTATTTTCCTAATGGTGAGAGCTCATGAAGTTTGTGACTTATTTGCACCTTGGATCTTCAGAAAAAAATAAATGAAGACCACAGACCTAAAGAAATAGGAAAAGTGAAAGTAAAGTCGATCAGTCGTGCCCGACTCTTTGCAACCCATGGACTATAGCCTGCACCAGGCTTCTCTGTTCATGGGATTTTCCAGGGAGGAGTACTGGAGTGGGTTGCCATTTCCTCCTCCAGGGGATCTTCCTGACCCAGGGATCAAACCTGGGTCTCCCGCATTGCAGGCAGATGCTTTACCCTCTGAGCCACCATGCAGGGTAAAGAAATAGGAAATGAAATTCAAAATAGCCTAAACAGTCTCAGTGATTCACATTTTTTGAGTACCTCAATACTTGCTAAGTATCATTTATTTGGTCAGAAAAAACACAGAAGTGTTATAGAGAATGCCCAAATGGTGAGTCTAAATAGATCTCTTTTAACTATTTAAAAATGTAATCTACTACAGCATGCTTTCTAACGAAATTGTATTCTACTACATATATAGCTTCAGGTTAATATGTCAATGTAAATGATAGATGATTTATAAATCTCTTCTTTATAGCCTTGGGAACTGTTGTTTTCATCTTAAAGTGCTGTTTATGTACTATCACTTTTTTAGTGAAGTGTGTCATGTGCCAAGCACTGCATTTAGCCCTATCCTCTAGTGTGATTAATTCTTGATTCTCTTCTAAATTGTAGTCTTAATCTACAAATATAGGCTAGAGTATATTCTTCATGTATGCCCAGAAACCAGGATATCCTAGATCTTACAATGGCTGAGCGGGTAAAGAATCTGCCTCCAACGCAGGAGACACAGGAGACGTGGGTTCGAGCCCTGAGTCAGGAGATTCCCCTGCAGATGGAAATGGCAACCACTCCAGTATTCTTGAGTAAAAAACCCTATGGCCAGAGGAACCTGGCGAGCTACAGTCTAAAGGTTGGCAGAGTGAGAGACACAGCTGAGCAACGAAACACAAGCACACAACGTGTATCAAGCTGCATAAAATACAGACAAGACAGGCTGACTACACACTCCACATGAAGAAATACATCCCGGGACAATTATCATAGACAACACATGCCACTGAAGTCAGAATGAGATGATTCATTAAAATCTGTCATTGCCACCCAAACAAAGATATCTTCTAAGCATCGGTCGTTCTTTTCTTGGATGCACAAAAACAAGTAATCCCTTATGCTACACAAGGGGCCCTAAATAATGTCAAGAGTAGTTAGGATTACAATGCCTTTTAACAAGGCGCAAGAAAGATGGAAAACTCGACAAATTCACAAACGAACGATTTTCCTTCTGTTCGTCTTGATGGTAGCTTTCAGGCCGTTTCAGAAGCAACATCAAGAAGTAACAGAAATGAGGAACAAAGGCAGGAAAAGGCGAAAACCTCTGCTGAGATAAGCATAATGGCTTAGGCTGAGTGGAGTGCTTTAAGAGTCGCTGCAAATGACCAAAACAATCTGAGTCTAAAAAAAAAAAAAGTTGGTTGTTTGAGGTTTGGCTATTCTATTATAATTCACCATATGTCAGGGACAGTGTTCGCTTCTTGAAAAAGTCCCAAATATCCTGCCTGCGGTCTTCTCCGGGAGCCGCTAACCATTCTAGTTACTCCTGTGACACCGGGTTAAAAGAAAATGAAAACACGACCATCAGCAAGTATTTAGGAGGGGCCTACAGAGAACTTTTCACCCTTAGCCACAGCCCACGAGCCTCCCACGGGAACTGCCTCTGGACCGCAGCCCAGCTGACAGCGGAGGGGCCGCCGGCCACGCCCGGATGCGCAGCGGCCGGGGTCCAGGCCGGCCGGCGGGTCACACGCTCTGACGGAGCCGCCCCGGCGCGAGGACAAGGTGCGGCCGGGCCTCACCTCCACGGCTTGGCCCAGCTCCAGGTCGAAGCCCACCACACACACGCAGTGCAGCCAGGCTGAGAAGCCGTCCCAGCGCAGCAGGCCCCGGCTGCGGCCCTCGTCCTCTTCATCGTCCTCAGGCGTGGCTCCCGCCACCACCACTGCCGGCGCCTCGCGCTCCTTGTCCGCCGCCACCGCCTCGTCCAACGGCCCTCGGGAGCCGGGCCCCGAGCCTGCCAGGCCCCGCAGAGCCATCCGCCGCCCCCCCGGCCGTTCGCGCCGCCTCCTCGGAGGACCGCGCCGCAGACTCCGCGCAGGCGCAGCCGCAGCTGTCGCAGCCGCGGGGGACGGGCCGGGCCGGGGAGGGGCCGCGGCACACGTGACCCTGGGAGTCCGGCTCTGCGCGGGTCGGCTGGCCCCGCCCCCCGAACTTGGCGACGTAGCGCAGGCACTTGACTGAAACTGTCAAGCCCGCTCTAGCCTCCTTGCTTTAAAGCTCGTCAAGCCTGAAGCAGTGTATCCTGAAACCTTTCTTCGCAGTCCAACGACTAGGGAAACAATTGGAATGACACCGTTCGTAATTATAAGGTATTACAAAATTGTTAGAACATTGTGGTAACAGCGGTTAACATTTATTGAACACTTACTCTGTGACAGGTGAAGTGCCAAGGAAGTAGTTACAAATATTACTTCATTGAATCTAGTGGGTAGACATATACTAGATACGTATACATAGATATGTATGTGGACATATACATATGTATGTGGACGTATACATAGATATATACACATAGATATGTTACATCTTTTTAGATAACCTGAGGTTCTGAGAGGTTACCTGACTAGTCAAGCAAGTATTAAAACTGATGCAGGTTTGCAATGCACACAGGCAATTTGCTGTGCGTTCATTGAGCATTGTCCTCTCCACAAAGTCCCCTCCCATCTTTCTCGGCCTGGTTTCCTGTGACTCACTCAACACTCAGACATCTCCGCACCTTTCTGGAGCACCTCTACGACAACCTATGGATTACTGTCTCCCAGCAAGAGTCTAGTCTCCTGAAGCTTAGTATTCTTGGAGATCAGCTTTGGACCAGGTAAGCAGGAGGCACTTGGTCTGTTGACTGATTATGGATCCACCCTGGTACTACTGACTGGGATTCGTTCAGCACCTACTAAGCTGAGCATAAACTGAAGAATGGAAGTAAATAAGAAACACGCAGTAATGCTCCAGTAGGAAAATGAGTAAAAGACAATGGATAATAACTCACAATAAACGTGTTTTTTCAAAAGCAGCACAGTGTTCATGCTTTTACACACTTTATCTTTAAAAAAAAACAAATATGTGGCTGTATTGATCTTAGTTGTGGCACTCGGGCTCTTGCTGTGGTGCAGGGCGTCCAGAGCACTTGGACTCAGTTGCCCTGGGCGTGTAGCATGTGAGATCTTAATTCCAGTGTCCCCTGCTTTACAAGGCGATTCTTCTTCTTCCTTATTTGTGACCATTTCTGCATTTTTCCACTGTGTTTAATTTTTAAAACAATAGTTATTTTTTTGGCTGTGATGGGTCTTTGAGGTGTGTGGGCGTTCTCATTACGGTGGCTCTCTTGTGGCGCGTGGACGGTAGGCGCCGGCTTCAGTAGTTGCGGTGTGGGGGCTCTAGAGCTTGGGCTCAGTAGTTCTGGCGCAGGAGCTTAGTCGTCCAGAGGCATGTGGGATCTTCCTGGACCAGGAATTGAGCCCGTGTCCCCTGCATCGGCTGGTGGACTCCCAACCACTGGGCCACCAGGGAAGTCTCTACACAGATTATTTTATCTGATTCTCCTAACAGCCAAAAAGATGCATGTGTGCTAAGTCGCTTCCGTCATGTCCAACTCTTCGCGAACCTATGGCCTGCAGACCGCCAGGTTTCTCTGTCTGTGGGATTCTCCAGGCAAGGATGCTGCAGTGGGTTTCCATTTCCATTCCCTCCTCCAGGGGATCTTCCCGACCCAGAGATCAAACCCACATCTCCTGCATGGGCAGGCAGGTTGTTTACCATTAGAACCTCCTGGGAAGCCAAAAAGATAGGTCCTATTATTATGTCATTTTACAGATAAGGACTCTGACGCTCCTGAAGATGTCAATAATGTCACAGCCAGTAGGTGGCAGAACAAAGACTTAAAACCCAGATTTCTCTCATTGAACCTTCGTTCCTAAGCACTTTGCTGCACCACCCAGTCAAATTTATCCTGTTTTACAAGAACTGTTTTGTCCATACCCATAGGATTTTTAGTTGAAATAAGTATTAGCATCTCTCTTTTCAAGAAGTTCTAATATCCTCAGACATCAATAGTGATGTTTGCTGGAGACTTTCTTTAGGACAGAAAATCAACTAGAAACATTAAACTTAAAGACCAACTCTGGCCAAAGTTATCTGCCTTCCTACTCAGAACCACTGTAGTTAAGAGAAAAAATATATTCTGCATTTAAGTAAGTCTCTAGACCCACTGTTAGGAAAGGACAGTAACCGTTTTTAGTATTAAAAACAGTATTAGAACACTAGAAGTCAAAAGTTTGGGATTTTAGCACCTGCTCCATCCACCATCATGGTAGGCAGACTGCTCCAACACTCTGTGCTGTGGTAAAGTAGGAATGATCATTCTAGCCTACTTACATAACCAACCGTGGGAAAGAGTCAAACTATCGCAATGCACACACCTTACTGGACTGCCTCATTATTAATGATTAATGAGCTTTAAACACCTATTGTTCCATAAGTCTGTTTCTTTGCCATTCGCTGAAATGCTACTTTATAATTTTGGATTAAGAGCAATCTTTTCAAAATGTAGTATTCTGAAAACTATTAAGAGGACCATAAGTTCGATGAGAAAGAAAGAAAACCAGGCCTTTAGAGAATCTTAAAATAGAAAAAAAAATTCTGCTTTGGAAAAAACAAACAAACACTACTACTCAAATCTTTATACACAAAACTCACAACCACCAGGGAAAACAGAAAGTTCCTATGACTTTTTTCCTTCCACCCTCATAACTTTGATATTTGGCCTTCAGTTCAGTTCAGTGCCTCAGTCATGTCCAACTTTTTGTGACCCCATGGACTGCAGCACAACAGGCTTCCCTGTCCATCACCAACTCCTGGAGCTTACTCAAACTCACGTCCATTGAGTCGGTGATGCCATCCAACCATCTCATCCTCTGTCGTCCACTTCTCCCCTTGCCTTCAATCTTTCCCAGCATTTGGGGTATTTTCCAAGGAGTCAGTTCTTTGCATCAGGTGGCCAAAGTATTGGAGTTTCAGCTTCAACATCAGTCCTTCCAATGAACACTCAGGACTGATCTCCCTTAGGATGGACTGGTTGGATCTCCTTCCAGTCCAAGGGACTCTCAAGAGTCTTCTCCAACACCACGCTTCAAAAGCATCAGTTCTTCGGCACTCAGCTTTCTTTATAGTCAAACTCTCACATCCATACATGACTACTGGAAAAACCGTAGCCTTGACTAGA